ACTCCGACATTCACACACCGTACCTTCTTGGATTTACACAGCTTGGTGCTGTGCCCCTCTCCACACTTTTCGCAGCAAACTTTGCTGCGGCAGAACTTCTCTAGGTGACCCAACTTCTGGCACTTCTGGCATCTTCGTACCTTGGGGATGTAAGGGTGGAGCTGGTACCTGGAATAAAGAAGGGGAAGAGGACCATTAGGTACTTTCCCGCTTGCAAATGTTAATTGGACAGTCCTAACGGACTTGCCCTCCCGAGGTTTGTAGAGGTATAAACCCTCTACAGCGTGATTGTGGAGCTTAAGATCCTCCAGCAATTCACCCTCGGAGTACTCGGAGGGGACGCCATAAATGACGACCCGTTCCGTCTTGTTGAAGGTGGACATGGCCGAGTCCACCTTCATCCCACACAGTGCGGTTTGGTTGGCAGCATAAACCGCATCTGCCAGGAACTCAAAGTTCAGCCGCACGTTGCCGTTGGCCAGGACTTTGACCTCCGGAAGAGAGCTATACTTCCACTCTTTCCGGATGAAGTCGCCGATGACCTTCGACTTCGTGCTGCCGAAAGTTTTGCCCCCGCTTGGCTTCACTATTACGATGTTGGAGAACTCCGGCCTTGCTACCCTGGGTTGCATGGCAGCAGCTGGCCGACTCCCAATATCGGCATAGCTAACCTTGGTGGATTGTTGGGAGGCCATTTTAGCTGAAATTGAAGGTTTGATTAGTACAAATACAAAATATAAGATACAATACAATAAGACAGATAAGAGATAGCTATCAAGAATGCCTTGCAGACTGTGCAAAAATTGATAGTATGAAAATGAAAAGAGAACAACGAAACAAAACGAAACCTAGTGAAAGCTTTGTAGGGCAGCTTGAATTTCTTCCGCCAAAGAAATTGTCGGCCGCCGAAAGAAAAGATAAAAGAAAAGAATAAAAAGGAACGAACTCACAGTAATTAGTGGCAGGTGTCAAAAGTTAATTGAGTTATACTTAATTGATACTTGACAGTAATCCGCTAATCCAATTTCACCAATCCAGACTAGAGAGAGAGCTAATTAGTTGTTCACAGTACGAGATATCGCAAACTAGGTAG